AGGGGAGGGGAGGGGAGGGGAGGGGGAAGAACCGCCCCGCTTTTTTGTTGCGGTCGCTGCAACGGAGGAGGAGGGAGAAGAAGAAGGAGAAGAAGAAGAGACGGGCAGGGAGACTCCCGCTGCGCCCGCGGGTTGTTGCTTTGTCTGGGTTGGTGACGCGCCTTCCTCGGGCGCGTTCGGCGCCGCTCTCCCGCGAGCGTCCGACGCGGCTCGCTCGGCCGGGTCGCGCTTGAGCCCGGCTGGCCCGCGGCTGTCCGCGAAGTCGCCCCGCCGCCCCTCCAGCCGCACCTGCTGCTGGCGGAGAAAGCGCGGCTGGGCTCTTCGGCGCGGTTGTGTTTATTGGCTGGTGTCTTTCCAAAGAGACCGTGCCCGGCCTTAGTGTGACCGGCTCCCAGCGGTCCAGAACGGGCGCCGAGGGCCGACCAAGGTGGACTTCTGCTCGAGGGGATATTGTGCCTTTCAGGCTGCAGTCCGAAAGGCTGTATTCCCTCCCGCCCCTCAAAAAAAGAAAACCGGGCGTCTAGACGTTACTCTGACTCTGCTCTTGTATGAACCGTCCCAGGTTCATAACTGCAGAACAATTTATTATTATTCACACACGCACCTCTCAGAATCAAATGGCCGGTCCAGAGTATTAATTGCAACCTAGGACAAAATATTAGCTGAAATAAAAGGAGTAGCTGGACAGAGTCAGTAAGTTGCACGTCTGCGCGATTTTAGGCGCGATTGCCTCAGCTTGGACTAGTGTGATCTAAAAGAAAGAGGAAAAACTGGAAAGGGCAAATGCGACAGAGGGAGTAAAATTAAGAGCCAAATGTACAACTTGGGCTAGAAGAATGCATAACGAAAAAATCTTTTTTTTTTTTTACATTCAGGAGGTCCCCAGGGAGGAGTTCAGCATCAGAAGATCACCTCCTAGGTTTAATGTTGCTTTGTTAGTCCTCAGCCAGTCTTCCCACTTGGAACCTGATGTCACTGGAGAGGGGGGCACACCTCCAGGATTGTTTGATGTGCGGTGGTGACACCATCTAGGAAGGTATCTCTGAATCGTTTCATTGCCACAGAAAAAGATTCCTTCTCCTTTCCTCTCAAAGGTGAAAGCATAAGGTGATGCAGTGTGTCCTCTGCCTGGCTCCTGTTTTCCCCCTCCCCACACGGGCAGCAGGCTGCCGCTCCCTGGCCCAGCTCCCGTACATCTGATGCGCCTTCGACACACCAGGCCCGGGAGGACTCATTGCCATCTGTTTTACCTGGGTGCACTGCCAAATCAGTACCAAATCAATGCTCACCTGCTACAACTTTGCTGAGAATGTTTCTCAGGCTCTCCCAGCTGAGTTGATGGAAGGTTTTTAAATTAAAACACACACACGCACACTATTATTTTTGACAGGATTGGATGAGAATGTGGAAACGCACCGTTCCACGTAGGCATTTCTCTCACGCAGCGAAGGGAGATCAGGCATCCAGCAGTGAAGTTACAGTTCACGGATCTATTCCAAACGGCTAATGGAACCTCTTGAAAGCCGCATATGTGACTCAAGCTGGCTCTGTTTTGACCATTACAAAAATGACTTTTTTAAAATGTCCATTTCATGAATTTCAGTGCTCACAAACACAACAGACTAATAACACACTCTTTACTGCCAAATGCAGTGCAGGCAAATGGCCTGTTACAGAGCTTTGCCAACACAACACATTCCAGACATTGCCCCTATGCTTGCTCACTTCCCCAGCACCTTCCTGGATGCATCAGTGATATTCCAAGGAGGGGAATAAAAGTAATAAGAAGATGCTGTTGACATATCATCCATGAAGTTAATATTCTCCAGGATTAATACTATATCTTGGGAAAACCATGTGGGCCTTGTAGGAGAAAAGTCTCTCTCAACATATCTAATGCCTAGCGCTCTTAAATGAACATGCAGTTGAGATACACTCGGAGGCACCACCTGCTAACGCTGCAGCAAGAGAAACAGGCCCAGCTGCTTCCACTGAAGATGTGTGCTATCCAGCCAATAATACCTTTTTTTTTTTTTAACAGACAGGTTTACAAATAGGGCAGAGGAAGGGACTTTAGGATTCTGACTTTTGCAGAAATTAATCTGATTTCTCTGAAGCTGTTCATTTTTTTCTCTTAATCCAGTTGATGAGAAGCAATCCCCATTATTTCTACCTGTTTCTTCTTCGTCTTATATTTCTCTTTTGATTTTTTCTGCTTTATTTGCCAAGCAAAATATTTTCCCGGAACTTCACAAGAGTTTGAATTTGCAAGCTCTGCTCATCTGAGACTCCTTGCCCCACCCCCCCGGGGAAGCACCATCTAGTCCAAATCTAGAACATATCTTCTAGAGATTATGCCAAGTTTAACATACTCAGTAAAGAACTGGCAGTTTGGACTTGAGCCAACCCCATCAATATATATTAAGTACTGCTTTCTCTGGAACTGCTCTATAATATACTAATCACATTTACTTTCCCCTTTTTCTTTATTTCCCCTGGTATATACTTCCATTTGCAAACTACACATGGCCCTGTAGTCCTGATACTCTCTTGATTTCACTGCTGTTTTTATTTTACACTTTCAGTAATGTGAAAACAAGAGAAAACAGAGGAATGAACACTATCAACATATATATTTCTTGGGACTATACAAATATCCACAATACTTTCTTAGACTTCATTAAAGTGACTGTCACAATTGTCACAAAATATGTTGTAAGTAGAAATTCTTAAAAGTTATACATATATAAATGCTTACATGGATACAATACATATGACATATAATTTCATTGCAGTCTTGAGAAATGTATTTAAAACTCTACATATTTTCTGTTGTCTCTTTCACTTAATAATGTCAACATCTTTCTTTAATTAGATGATCTACTTTCTAAAATGGCATTAAAGGTAAGTCCACTGTTAAGCAGCTACATACAGTCAGTTTTCCATATTTGTGGGGGTTACAACATTTCCCGCAAAAACGTGAAATTCAGCAAAAATCTCTACTCTCACCCAAATAGCTCAGATGTTAAACCCTAACCCTAAAGCCTAAATACTTATGCAACCATTTACAATTTTAAGCACAAGTAGCCTAACGCAGACCCACATAACACACACAGGTCACAAACCGTCCTTCACAGATGACGCTGAAGACACGCATGTCCCACATGAATGCAGTGAGCAACAGCCAAATTTTTAGTACTGAATTATTTAGTATAGTAAATTTCACAACCATCTCCGCAAAAACACACACAAATCCACAAATACAGATCCTGTGAATAGGGAGAATATATTTCTTTGTATGGACAGCATTAAACTTAATTCTTTATTTTTACAAGATGCAGCGATGGATTATCTAGACAATGTAGAAGCAGGTTAGACAAATTTGTGGAAGATAAGATTATCAGTGGCAGTTAAAAGATAGTTATATATTAACTGCCTGATTACTTTTCTCTTCATTCTTAATAGCTATGTATTATCTGAGCCTCAACATGCCCTCTCTTTCTCAGCCATCTTGTGGACTTCCCAAAGATATCCGTTTAGCTACGGTGTGAGACTGAATGGATCTCTGATCAGATCCAGTAATAGACCATTAAAATCAAATCCTTTCAACACTTTTCGCACATTATGTTTAAATAGCAAGTCCCAGCAACTGTTCTGGTGGGGCCACTAGATAATATTAAGCTGCTTAAAATATTACATATTAGCAACACTCTGTTCACCCAGAAAGCCATTTGAGACTGCTAATGAGCAATGCAAACTTGGTACCAGGTACATCTGATGCTCCTGAAAATTTATTCAAAAACTAAAGGGTGTGTATTCTGAGATTTAAGGAAATGTCAGACTCATTCCTGGTGGTTATATGAACCCATCCATGTGGTTTTCTTGACAGCAATACAGAAATCATTTAACATTACTTTTGGGGGGATTCTTTTTCAACTTCCCAGGCTACACTATTGTTCTGGGATTTTCAAGTGGTCTCCTATCCAGTCTCCTAATGAGATTTGACTGATTAGTTTTTCCAAACCAACCTGGAGGTGGCCAGGTGCTGCCACCTCCTGTAGACTTTCTGGGACTTATGTTTAGACTTAGAAACATATAGGCATGCTCTTTCTCACTCACTCTCTCTCTAGTTCTTTAAGAGTAAATATTTAGCTCTGTATATTTAGTTCTCTAAGACTTCTTTTTTGTGGTAGTCTTCCCCGATCTGGTTGGTCTCCCAGAATACTGACTGCTGAAAACTCTAGGAGCTGCATAGCCAACCCATGCCTGCAGCAGAACAATTGTTATTAATCCACAGTCAGAAGTAGGAACTCTCTTCTTAGCGTTTATTCTGCTGTCCTACTATCGCTGTACTGGAAGGGGGTATCACGCAAGTTTGATCAGCACTTGCACAAAGTGAAGAGTCCAGCATTCTTCTACCAATATTCTTCCCTCTTATCTTTGAGAGTTCACCTCCTACTTTTTTGGGGTAGTGTATAAACCTGTGTCCCAGCTAAGAAAAACATTGCTACTGCTTGTTGAACAAGAGAAGTTTGTTTAGTCAGTAAACAGATTTCCCCCACTGCAGGAGGAAAAGAAGAACCTCATGTAATGTCTAGGGCAGTGTTGTCCAAACTTGGCCACTTTAAGATGAGTGGACTTCAACTCCCAGAATTCCCCAACCAGCATTCTTGTCAGGATTTTCTTTCTCATGGGAAAGGATTCATCCCGTTATCTTTACAACAATAACAAATAATATTTTGGCTACAGAGATCATGT